CTTTCCCTCCTACTGACCCCTCTCAATATTTCTCATGCCTCACACTCTGTCCTTCCATACAACATCTTCAAATACTGACTCTCCCTTCCCTCAAACTTTTCCTTCTTTCTATGCACGTTTTATTATTTAATTTTATTTATCATCATTATTATTTTTAATTTGCTACTGGACATGTGTGCAAGAGAGAGAGAGAGGAAGTGAGAAAGCAAGCCACCAGGTCTAGGACTCAAACTGTGGTCGGCCATGTGGGAGTCCAGTGCTTTAACCACTTTGCCACCTCCTGGCCCACTTCTATGCACTCTTTAGCTTGTTACTTCCCACTCCTCCTTTGGATCTCAGCTCAATTACTATCTCCTCAGGGAAACCAGTTTTTTTAAAACTTTAGTAACTAGGTTGAATTCACTTATTTTTAGTTCTCATTCCATCACCACTCTGTTTCACCCCACTTACTAATATTGCAATTTTACATGTACTTGTGTGATTACCGAATGTTTGATTTCTTCCCTAAATTATAAAACAGTGTCTGAAAATGTTTTGCTTTCTTTCGTAAAACCAAGGCCTGTCATGGTTCTTAACACATAGAATGGTCTCAATAAATATTTTCTGAATAAATTTATGGATTCAGAATGGATTGCAGGGCTGGAATCTGAGAAACAGATAAGGTCTGGAGGGCTTTCCAAGGGAAGAAATTCAATGAAAGAGAAATTTAAAGTTTAAAAAATTTCCCTAAACAGGTTACATACAAGGAACTGAGTGGGATGCTTCCTGCAGCAATTCTTTAAAGATTGAAACAAAATCAAACATCAAATTTGACAGATGTTTCAAGGAAAAGAGGAAGGAAATTAGAAATAAAGTGACAGATATTGATCAAGAAGAGCAATGTTGAGAAATTGGAGAGAGTCTGGGAGAAGAGTTGAAAACTCCGTTAGGAGTAGGGACTGAGAGCATGAGCTGGTAGATTTAATCTGATGAGTCCATGCTCGAGGTGTCATTTAGCAAATGCCCTCAATATCCCACTGTGTAAATCAGAGTAAGAGGAAAATAGAAGGAAATTGAACATAGAGAATTCTGTTTGATAAAGGAGAATCTTGTCCTTATGGATGATTAAACCATGAAACTAGTAGGGAGGGCTCATGACTCTTACTTGGAGACCCTTTAGGAATGAAAGTGAAAACCATTTATCTGGGATACTGCTGGGAGACAAACTAAGCTTATAGCTCCTTTGTGGTTTTGGAATCAGTGGTTTTTCTCCATGAGGATTCTTTAAGCTTTCTGGTTCAAATCTAGTAAGTCATAGAGGTAAGAGTTTATCAAAGAATATACTGTAGCATTGGAAAGTTCCAGAGATATGTCAGTTTGTATGGTATAGGTTCCATGTCTGACCACTTGAGTGGTTAAAAGGTTAGCTTTAGGCTGATGTTAACAGGCTCAATTCTCCCTCTTCAGTACCCCTCCCACTTCCACTAGAGTTCTCCTGGCACTCTTGTTCCTTACACCTCTGCTGTTCTTTATTGTTGCTTGTGCAAAATGTTGTCTTCTTTAGAAATCCCTTCTCTCCTTACATTCCTTGCTTCTCCTCAGACTATTTTCCCAGTGTCCCCAAGCACTCTTTCTCTACTGGCTTTTCCCCATGATCATGTTAACATGCTCAACTGCTAGTATCTTAAAAGGAAATAAGGCTCTTTGAACTTCATGGCCCCCTCCAGGTGCCACTCTATCTTCCTCTCTTCCTAGGGAAAGTTTTTTAAAGGGTTTAATACTTCTGCCAGCCCCCTTCTTTATTTCTCAGTCTGCTACATCCTGACTCCCATTTCTCTGACACATGTACCAACACCACCAATGACATCATTGTTAGTGTGTTTAAAAATGGATTTTCATCCCTTATCTTACTAGAACTCTTAAGAAAAACAAACAGCATTTAACCACATCCTCCTTGAAACATTCTTTCCTAGTATTTTTTGTTGCTATATAGATATACATATATATCTAGATATATATGTGTCATAAATATTGCCACTATAACCAACATTATTTTTTAGAGGTTTTTGCCTTAGAAAACATGCACTTGCCACAGAAAGAGAAAGAGAGAGAGAGAGGAAAGTGAGAAATCATCCCTCATGGGGGATGACCATGCTGCAGTCTCTTTTTCTCCATTCTCCTCCTGGAATTTTGGGCATACATACGCATGCCTGGCATGAGTTTCATGCTACTAGGTCCAGGACTCAGACTGCAGTTAGCCATGTGAGAGTCCAGTGATGTAAGTGCCATGCCATCTGCTGGTCCACCATTGTAACCATTTCTAAGGGTACAGTTCCATGGCATTAATTGTGTTCACAACATTGTTCAACCATCACTACTGTTTACTATGTTTTATCATTACTCCAGACAGAGTAATGTACTTGTTAAACAATAGTCTGCTATATTTTCTTGGATTTTGTGATACTTCCAATTTTTCTCTTCTCTTTCTTTCTCCTCTGCCCTTGTTTCTCAGGCTTCTTTGCAGGTATCTGTTCTTCTGCCCATTACCTAAATCTGCACTCCTCAGGTGCTATTCTAGGCTCTTGTCTTCTTTTTTTTTTTTTTTAAACTTACACATTTTTTTTGAGGGGAGGGGTAAATCTCAAGCTATTCTGTGGCTTCAAAGAGAATTCAAAGCCATCAGTGGGCTTATTCCTGAGCTTTTTGATGTAATTCCTTGCTTATCTCTTGCCATGTGCCAGCGCTACAGTCCATTCCATCCCTCTAAAGTGTTGTACTACTTCTTCTCTACACACTTGAAATTATTTCCTAATGCTCACATTTTATTTCTACATGTAATGTTGTTAATCTTAAAATCTCCACTTAGAAGTCACCTCTCAGAAGCTATTTAGGGCCTCCTCTTAACTTCTCTTACTGTACTGTCACTACTAGCTTCCCACTAGTCCCTAAATTCCACCATTGGTAGAGACAAAAGTACTGTGTCTATTGTGTATTTCTAGTGTTGGCATATGGTAAGCAATCATCAAATATTTGATTCAACAGCAAGGACTGTTATTGAGTGAAGATTATAAAGAAATAGTCAAAATATCTCAGTATCTTTGTGCTAATAGATGGATACTAGAGTTTGGAGATAAATGACTTTTTGGAGCCTGTTTTTGTGTGTGATGTCAACTACTTTACATTTTATTGAGAGTAAAAAATAATGATAGAGTTTTTATGGACATTTAACAAGAAGCTTCAAAAAGGACAAAGCTTCAAAGACTTAGCTTTGATGGGTACATTTAACTTAACTGATATCCATTGATTTAAGACAAAGACCTTTCCAGCATAGCATAAATGAAGACTCTGACTTTCTTTTTTAATTAAGAAAAGAAGAAAAAAAGAAAAAGAAATACCTTCTGTGAAGCAGTTGCCTGGGCTCTGTCATTGACAGAGCATGGAATGTTTCTGGGTGCTCTTGCTCTGTGACTGTAGCTGGCCTTGGTGCATTTCCCTTGAAGAACCTTGTTGGAGATGATCCAGCTACATCGAGCAGGGGAAGAAAAGGCAGTGTGATGTTATACATCCCCTAATTGTGAAATATGTCCAAATCCTTATTTATAAGAGTTCTGTAAAAATGGTTCAGAAGCATTTTCTAACAAAAAACCATGAAGTGTTAATATGTATGTATTTCTCAAGATTTTATTTTATAACCGTAAGATTTAAGTTTAATTTCTTTATATTAAAAGTGATCTCAAGATCTTGGTGTCTTGAGATGTATTTCATATTATTTCATATCTGAAAAAATATATTATTTGAATTATTTTGTAGTACTTTAAAAATACTTTATAAATTCTTGGAAGTCAGAAAAATATATACATATACCTAAGAAAAACATACAGACCAAAAAAAGAAATGTAAGAAAAAACTACATGGAGAAATGAGTAAGAGAAATAATTCCTTTCTGTTTTAGATTTTTACCAGGGGGTGTTTATGCTTGCTTTCCAGCATAAACACAGACAAAGTGAGAAATCACACACACACACACACACACACACACACACACGAGGGTAGGGGGTTGGCTATGTCACAATCCCTTCTCCATTGTCCTCTCTGGATTAAGGGTACATGTGCACAAGTGCCTGGTGGTATTTTCAAGTGCAAAGTCCAGGACTCTAATTGTTAATATGAAAATAATAAATGACTAATACATGTAAAAATGTTTATTTACACTTATAAATAAAATTTAATATAAATAAACTAGTTTGTCAGGCGCGTGTGCGTGTGTGCCCAAGATCCCGAGAGGAGAATGGAGGAGAAGGGATCGAGGCGTGGCCATCCCCCCGGGGGGTGATTTCTCGCTTTCTGTCTCTATGTCTCTCTCTGTCTGTCTGGTGAATGCACGCGCCCTATAGTGAAAATCTCTCTCAAAAAAAAAACAGTTTGGAAAGGTGTAAGTATATAAAAATAAGTAAGTGCTGGGGTTGGCAATAATCGTGACTAATATTTATTGATTGCCTGGTGTGTGCTAGGTACAGTATTTAATGCTGTACTTTCTTTTTACACTTAGTCATAATGAAAATCATCGTCAACTCCAGTTCTTGTTTTTTGTTTCTTTGTTTTGCATGCACTCACCAGAGATAGAGACAAAGAGAGAGAGAAAATGAAAACACTCCTCCACATTGAGGTGAGTACACAGCAATCCCTTTTCCTTTATTATCCTCTTGGCATTTTGGACACACACACACTTGAGCCTGGTATGTTTTTCAACCTACCACATTCAGGAATCAGACTGCTCAGTTGGCCTTGTGGGATACAGCCACATTAGCTACCAAGCCACCTACCTGGCCCTATCAAACTCTAATTTTACAGATGAGAAGACGGACAGAATAATGCTTAATTACAGAAGGATATAGAGCTAGACAGAGACAAGACCAGAGATTTTGATACTATGACCATTGTATACACTATACTGCTTTGTAAACTCCCGGCTGTGTAGATATTACTACAAGTGGCTATTAGGGTGTATGCTGGTACAGTAATTGAACCTGGAATCAATTATTGATCTCACTTTGGGAATACCTGGTTTAGTGCTGCAGCAAATGATCACCTGTTCTTCTCTTGTTTAGGATATCTCTTTTTATCCTTCTCCTTACTCTTTTATCTTTTTGCCTTTCTAAATATTACCCCTGTAACTCCAATTACAATTTTATATCTCATGTCAATATGCATCATTTTTAATTATCATATTTTAAATCAAAATTTTCTTATCATTTCTATCAGTCTATTTTCAGCTCAGTTACACATAGAATACATAGGACTAGACAAAATCATTACTGTGTAGATGTAAAACTTTCAGCCACAATCAAGTATTTCCATTTCCAGTGAAGAGTTATCATCTCATGAGACACCCAATAAACATTAGGCATTGAGAAGGATAAGTGTAGCTATGATGGAGAGGAAAGATAGAGTCGATATGTACGGTCCTGTCTTGGGAATAACCCAGATCATGACATGAGAAAGAGTTTGGGCATTCAGGATATAGAAAAGAAGCATTGGGCCTCCAAAATCAGAAAAGGAGGAGGAAAGGCCCCCAGTGGGCTGGAAAACCATAGTTAGAAGAGATGCGAGAGCACCAAAGCCATTCTTTTCAATTGTGCCCAGTGTCAGCTGAATGAGCCCACGGGACTGACAAGTCAAAGAGTCCTTGCTTGGGGACAGCATGTTTGGGAACATCCAGAGCAATGTTCCTCAACTTCTTTTGTCCCTCTGCTCAAAAGAGCATGCTCCATAGATAAAACATACCTCAAATAATGAGTCATTCCCTGAAGTTCTGCCCCTTTCTTTCCTACTCAAGAAAGTGCATCATACGCTTTTCTGAGATACATTATGTCACCATCCCATCTTTCCAACATATGCTACCATCCTTAGGAGTATCTCCCCCACATGCACCTGGAGAATTCCTGCTTTAATTTAGGAATTCATTCCTAAAAATGAACTTAGGAAAACTCAAACACCATTTATTTTGCCAAATCTGAAACTTCTGGGGCTTAAAACAAATAAAATAGATTTATCTGAGGGAGCACATGTTCTTCAGATCAAGCTGCTCAAGACTTGAAAGAGAGATGCAGGATGATCTGATCTGCTCTCCAGCCTCCCACCCAGCACTCCCATTCTTTTCAGTGCAATTCCATAGCATTGAACAAAATGTAGTCCCTGCAACTTTCTTCCTAGATCTATGAACAATGCACAGGGATATTCATGGGCTGTGTTTGGTGGAATGTGGATATGCTTTAATTTGTAATGGTGGTGTTAAATTACTTAGCTTCACCTACAATGAAGATAATTCCATGTAAGAATAATTTCTGAGTTATTCACCTAGGGGTGTTGTCAGCGGTGGCTGGAGCAAGACAAACTACTATTTAAGTCTAAAACCAATACTATGATAACATTGCTTGTGTCTTACTTTCATATATTTATATGAACATTTTTGGGGATGTATTTCTTTTTTTTAGAATTATTATATTGAACTTTATTTATTTATTTAAATTAGACTAGAGAGGGACAGAGTGTGAGAGAGAGATAAAGAGAGAGAGAGAGAGAGAAAGGAAGCCACCAGGTCTGGGACTTGAACCGCAGTTGGCCATGTGGGAGTCCTGCACTCTTAACCGCCAAACCACCTGTCAGTCCCGGGACATATTTCTAAAAGTAGATTTGCTAGGGCAAAGACTGAACATATTTATAATTTTGATAGGTACTAAGGGCATAACTTTTAAGATATGGAAGCACCTTTTTGACTTTTTTCTCCTCACAAAAAGGAATATGTCCATAACAGCTTGTCAGAGCCATGTTCTAGGCTAATATGTCTGAAAACAAATTGCTATATAAATGACTGACTAGTTTTTCTGTCTGGTATAAGAACTTGAATTTATGAATCAAGAGGGGAATATTAATTTAATATTACTCAAGCTATTATAAACTGTTTCACAAGTATTAAAAAGGTAATTTGATCTGTTTTCCTAGGCTACTTTAAATGATATGTGTTCATTTTTACCTTGACATGATAGTCTCAGAATCTCATAACTCACCTTTTTTTTTTTTCTTTTCTTCAGTTTTATTTTCTTTTACACATTCAATCACATAATTTAGCTTATAAAATGAATATTTCAATATGGGAACATTTCTTCTTAGTCCAGTTGAATAAACTGTAAAATAGCTTCAATAGATAATATCACATTTCTTTGTCCCATTAATGCTTTGCCTCCATATTTTTCTTCTAAATGTCCTTCCTCAGGCCCTACTCTTTCACACACACTATATCTGGTATTTACACCCATTTACTGTATTTTTATATCCTTTAGTTAATCAGTTTCAGTCATAGAGTGTGGACACTTGTTATATATTAAGTGGGGACATACAATGTCTCTCCTTCATAGCGTGGCTTGCTTCACTCAGCAGTAAATCTTCCATATTCTTCCACTTTCTGTCAAAAGCCAGGGTTTTTTTTTTTTTTTTTTAGGAGGGGTTTTTTTTTTTTTTTTTTTATACGGCTAAATGGTATTCCATAGAGTATATGTGCCACAGTTTTTCAATCCATTCATCTGTTCAGGGCATTTCAGTTCGTTCTATGTCTTAGTAGTCGTGAACAGTGCCGCAATAAACATCGATGTGAAGCCCTTTTCCAATGAAGAATTCTTCTGTCCTTCTGGTAGATGCCAAGGAGTGGGATTGCTGGATCATATGGTAGATCTATCTGTAGATTTTTGAGGAGTCTCCAAATTGTTCTCCACAGTGGCTGGACTAATTTACATTCCCCACCAACACTTAACATGTTTTGCTTTTTTAATCTTTAAATTTTTAAATGTCTATTCTGACTGGGGTTAGGTGGTATCTCATTGTTGTTTTGATCTGCATTTCCCTTATGATGAGGGATGTTGAGCATTTTTTC